TTTGAAAATTTTGTTGCTACCATCTACCGTGGGACATGTCAAATAAACTTACATCTATTATCTTGCTAAGGCTACCAAGTAATTTCAAATCCATGACGAATTCAAATTAAAACGGCTGTTTTTAAAGGGCGCGATAATTCAATTTGAACGGATATTATGACATTCTACCAGAAAACCTACCGAAAAATTTCCCACGTAATAGTTCTGTCATTTTGGTTCGGCCCTATTCATTTCTCTGGCTATTTACTAATGTATTAAGGCTGCTTTAGTTGTGGTTTGATTAGAAGACTTTATCTCAGGCAAGTGGGGGGACGGCAGGCAAGAAAGACTTATCACGGGCACCATATGGCCTCGATAGAATGCGCGGAAATTTTAAACAAAACGTATCAGATGCAGTATACATTATTAATTAGAATTTAGATGGTGTCGATTATATCACTTTATTACACATTGCCTATTTTTGACTTATGGATTCAAATCTTCGTTATTATCTTAACGCAATGTGTCAAGACTCCGATATTGCCAGTCGCTACTTTCAACTGAAAATACATTCGAGTGATCTTATGGGCAATAAGCAAACACATATGAAATATCATATACTATTGCGACATAAATGTGGTATGGGGCTCCATTGATCGACTTCATTTGAAACAAATTATAAAACGTAATATATATTTATGTTTACCGACTTGAATTATCGTTTGTCTCAGACGCCAAAACACACAATGCGACATCGTCCTATATGTAAGTATATTTTACTCGAGTTCAGAATACTTATTCTTTGGGGCTTGAGAATGAAACTTGCCTTCATCTTCTGATTTTTCATCAGTGTCTTTGTCGTCACTTTGCCTTCTGTCTTCATTGCCTGAGCCTGACTCATTTGCTCTATTTTTTGGTATCCACGTCATTTTGTTTTCTTTCTTCAAACGCCTTCGAGCGTTAGCAAACCACGTTGATACCTGTAATACATGTCAGTTTATAAGTGACAGTGCATTTAGACAATCATCAGATATACGCTTCTAAAATACACCATTCACAAATTAATAAGTAATGATGATTTGACTTAAATATTTAAAAATATGAAAAACTGAAAAGTGTCGACTTATCATTTTTCTTTTAATATTTTACCAAGGTTTAATTAAGCCTTGAAATAATTTGAAAAATCTTTGGTGAAAAAAACAGAAATAAACCTTGATATTATGAATTTAAATGTGTTATACTCTTTAAATTTTGGACAAACCTGTGTCAAAGTCATTTTTGTTATGATTGCCAACATAATTTTTTCGCCTTTCGTTGGGTATGGATTCTTTTTATGTTCTTGTAACCAAGCTTTCAAAGTGTTTGTCGATTCGCGGGTTGCGTTTTTCCGCCGTACACCATCGTTCATATCCATGCCACAGTATCTGAAAATAATGAAACACGATAAATGACTTCTTAATGTCGTGGTGAAACACCCGCCCTCGTACAGGTTGGTCTTCTTATCTTAGTTAAATATATGGTCAAGAACAACGGTGAATCGTTTACCAGATCTCGTGGCACATGCTATTGTGTACAAATTGCAAATTTCTTCCATTTAATTGCAACATATAAAAAAGTTGTGAATAATGAGATGATGCTTAAAGATGAAATACTTTATATCTCTGGCTCGAGTCTATTTCCAATTGGTGTAAATTTTAATAAAGCAAAGTTGACTTGGGCATATGACATTTGATATATAAATACAACGAAATGGTACGTGTATAACAACGATCAGGGTCGAGACAGTAGGCGACGAATCGATGACAATAATCTGTCGGGGATAAATATCATGAATAGCATGTAAAACCTTTCAATTTACAACCTAATATTTCCCTTTTGCATTTCCTGTTCTAGAAAACCAAAAATTTTCACACATCATATTTTTATCGTTCTATTTATGAGAAGCTTTTAAATTTTTGTCACATGCAATACGCAAACTACGTCAGATATTGTTATTTTCTGCCATGTCTACAGCGATCATTGTACCAAACATATTAACATATAGTAATAATACAGGGATTGTAGAAATGTTACAGATTTATTGTTTGACGGCATATGAAGTAGGATTGATCAATGTCTTTAGTTATATGTTGTATTGCAAACTGGAACAAACATACGGCATGAACGTAACATATAGACAGAATACCGCAAATTATCAGTTTAGCGATCTTATGAATCGCATATAACCGCGATATTTCATGCATTGTATATTTGGGAGTATTTTATCTACATGAAGACAATAATCCCACAAAACTTGCTGACGACCTTGAAATTTGAAATTCCATCGTATATATTTAGTATTCACTACAATAGATTTTTGTGAATTTGAACATCAATTTTGTAGTAGATCGTGGGTTAATATGTCAGCTATGAGCTATTGTTTCAGAATCTAATTTGTAATCTTGATAGCGGATAAACAAAAATTTTAAATCTATTGACGGCTTCTGTAATTTAGATTAGATTTGAATTTACATTCAATTTATCTGGTCATCTCTTACCAAGCTTTTTACGACACAAAATTCAGTCGGTAAAATTCAGTCCGTTTCATAATTCGCCATTTTACATTCCGCCCATGGGCAAATGAAATATATTGTTAAATGGCATTAACTGGCGACAGCCAAGTTAGATTTTTCATATGCCCAAACCAATAAACATTACCCTTATTAGTTCATTGCCTAACAATGCAGAATGTGGAAATAATGTCGGATGTGGAAATAAATGCAAACGGCTCTGAATTTCAGGTGGAAAGTTGAATATTTTCAAATTTAAATGGTGGTAAAATCTAATACTGTAAAAAAAATATATTATTGTTTTTATCAAATGAATACCCTTCAAATCAATATTAAATATTTTTCTTTCCTCATGAAGTAACAATGCAAGTTTAGAATCCTTTTTTGTTCGAATTTTGCCAGTGTACAGTTCTATTATTTTCGTCAACATCAAAATACAATTGAGTTTGGCCAACTATGCATAGATAGCGAGCAACTAAAATATACCAACCAAAATTATAGCGATTAAATAAACTTGTAACTGCAATACCAGAAGTTTTTTAGGCTTTAAGAAAGGCTGAGATTAAAGGGTATGTTTTATGACATCCAGAATCTGAATGTATATCTTTGTTATATCACCAAGCACAAGATTGTGTTTTACCTTTCGTACGGATACTGCGGTCCAAATCCTGTATCATATTGATAATATGTTGGAGCAGGCTGATTGTATCCACCGCTCCACATGTCACCCTTCATATCATATCCAGATCCCTAGAAATACAAATAAAAATTATGAGTGAATTATTGCAAAACACTCATGGTTTAGAATCTATATATTTGTTACAACTTTGTATTGCTAGATACTGGTAAGTTTCTGTTCATAAATCTATAGTTCTACAATCAGGATTAATTTCAACGTTTTGTTGAATTGAAAGAAACTATCCAATTTCTTCATCAAATACCTTTATAGTCATGATCACAAATAAGTTTTGAAAACATAAAAATGAATTTGAAAAGGAAATTTGAAATCGTGTTTGCTTGCTCATCGTGAATCGCGTAATGCGATGCTAAACTTTACGAAAAACAAAAGTGAATTGTTGCCACTTAATTCATTACCTTCAAATAGTTCCTCGACAAATTTAAAAAAAAATAAAATAACTATTTTCTTGTATGTTCAGAGTTATACATTTAATTAAAATAACGATAGATTACAAAACAAAACAGAATTTTTTGTTTTTGGCAATGGCCATCTCTTATTTGATATCCAAACTAAAATGGCGGCCCGATGACATTTTATCGTTGTGTAAGAACGGATAAGATTCAATCAATATTTTCAGCTTTGATAGTGTATATATGTATAAACTTTGTATTAAATATGACGACTGGGTATATTAGTTATAAAGAGTATGAAAATATTAGGAACTCAATATGAACATATGTTTTTACCTTTTAGGTATTACTATTCTATGAGATTGGGGGATAAATTCTAAAAATATAGAGTTTGCATTCATCTAAATGTCTATAAAATGAATATGACAAAATATGTCGAATGTGACGTCAAAATGCTAAATGGGTTTTCATGTACAACGTTAGTACATGTTTACCCATGTTACCACTCCCTTTTACATGATAACAAACATATTTAAGAATAAGAAATCAAAAAAGCAAACCCACCAGCGGCGTGTAATATGGTGAAGGATCAATTGCAGGAGAGCCGTAATGTGGTGGAACGATGCTGTGTGTTGGTGCGGAAGCTGCAGCGTAACTTGCCGGTGAATTGAGAGCCGATGAGCCGGGTTGACCGGTCACTACCGCCGCCGCGGCGTACATGTGAAACCCCGGAATATCGGACTGCATTTTTGGCGCAAACATTCGACCATCAGCCGATGGGCATTGATACACCGGTCGACTTCCTGCGCTTCCTGGAGAGTTTTCTACGCTTCCAGGGGTTGCAGGCACGGGGTTACTTGAGTAAATTGCAGAGGCGGAAAAGTACTTGTCTTTTACAGTATTGGTGTTAGATCCCAAGTTCAACTGAGAAGGAATTAACATCATAGATATATTTCCCAAGTATACAACACTTCTCTAATAACTAGATACTAGAAGCATTGATATATAATCTGTAAATGAGATATTATATATCTTGTAAGTTTTTCAAGTTCAGTAAATAAATTGCCTTATACAATAATCTCAATCCTTTCAGCTAGACATTACGCCTTGGTCTGACTATTTTATCGTTCCTGCTCGCACTTCAGCTTGGTACCAATCACACTGCATATACCTCTGCAGGAAAACTGAGTTATGTTGCAAAATTATAATAGCCTATTAATATTTTAGTTCATATCTGATACACCACTCTCAACAACGAATTTTGCAAGTTATCGGCATCAGGATTTAAAAGTGATGAGAGAGGATAAAACCAAACAAATGAACGAGAGACGAAAAACCGTGCGGAAGAGAGAAAAAATATTCGGCTCATTTATGACTGACGCGTTCGCTATTCGTAAGCGGTGCTCTCTTGTTTGGCAGTAGCTCAAATACCGCATGAGATCTTGCTTGACTCAAATTCACTCTACAATTTATCAGGTATTTACAACTTTAAATTATGGCAGAAACAAAATGATCTCTATAATACTGTCATGACATAAAGTTAAAATTTCATAAAATTTGATATTATCGAAATGCATTACAAAAACTGAGAAATTTGGAAAACTTTTGCATCTGAGGTTTGAGAGCCAGCGTGCTTCTTCGAACTATTTAACGTTCAAATAACAGTGTCCAAGACTTCATCAATAATAATTATACCGTTGTTTATTAATCACAAAAACGTATTTATTTCAATTGTTGCCATAACACCCCCGTGAAATGTTTGTAGTCAAAATTACAACTCAACGTAAATTTCATTGATACTTCATTGGCCAAATTCAAATACTCACACATACAAGCAGGTGGATCTTTGAAAAGACCGAATTACTGTGAATTCACGTTCAATTCTCTCTTTTCATCAAACTGCACCAATCGTAGTTCTTTTTTGTATTAGTGTTACATAGAAAACATGCTATATATATTAGAGTGACCGCAATAGGAAGCAATAATTGTCAAACTAATTTTTACATCATTTATAACTAAAGTAAAAAAGCATTGTTCGTATAGTTTTTAATCTAAATATGATATACCACAAAAATGAATTACTTTTACACAACTCCTACTTTGATACTTGCGAACAGAATATGTTTTTAAAATTGTTAAGTAAGCACTCACCGACTCAAAATAAGACATCAACACACGACATATAGTTTCCTGAAATATACTTCTAACTATGATTGGAAACTGAAACTCCTAATAAATAAGACCTGTTTACCAGTTAGTTTATTTAACTTTCCACGCACCGCACTGTTGTTTAGCGAGCGAAAACATTCATTGACGATTTATAAGTTCCGGACGTTTTCGAGGTAACGCGAAGTTAGTGGAAAAGTCAATCGAACTGCCGAACATAAGTAGGGTTGAACATAACTTCCATATTAATAAACCAAATCACGATACATTATTCACTAAATTTGATGAACACATTTTAATAATTACATTATTTTCGAAAATTGATGGAGAAGTTTACAAATGTGCAAATTCATTAATGATTCGATTCAAACGTGAAAATGATATTATTACAATGATCCCTAAACTAGATACGGCTGTGTATAACTTTCATCGTGGTATTGCTATTACTGCAGAGCTTCTATGAATGCTTTTGAATCATTTCTGAACGTTTTAAGCTTCATGTTATATCATATGCGTATATCCAGCATGCCTAATGTCACTAAGTATAATCATTTATGAGACACAACTATATTATGATTATACCTTTCAAGAATGGCTTTGCTCGTAAATGGAGAATTAAATGTCTATTCATTGGGAATTCGCGCTTGGTTGGGACATGATATGATGATCCTTATGAGCTCACTTCATTTTGTGATATACAGTAGTAATTAAATAACTTCGAATTAAACATAATATTACCTTTATTATAGCAACTTTGTCTAAATACTTTTAGCATGAAGTAATTAGAATATTACGTGTACAATTGTTCGAATATGATTTTTGTTTTAGAGAATACAAAATGTCGAATATTAAAATAAAAAAAATCACATCAATGATATCCGAGTCGAGGCCATGTTCAATTTCATGCACTGGACGGATGATTTCGATTTCTGAACTGCAACTCGCTTAATTATTGAATTATTAATCATCTGGTCGTAATTTGAAAGCGGTTCGAGTTTTATTATGTCATTTATAAAGCTGATTGAATGGAAATACTCACAGACGATCTTTAAATCAGCTAAGAATTGAGGTGATAAAAGTACAACAATTGTGATCATAAATTGTATATATAAGATATATCGGCAACTAAAAATGTATTATTGAAATCGGCGACGGACTTCGAAATTTCATCATGGGCTCCGGCACCGTTATTTTTTAGCGTCTTGCAATTTTTTTAAATCATTTATTAGATTATAACGAAATATGAATATCATGACTGATCTGTCGCTTTACCTGTCATTGTACGAGGTTTATCGTTCGGCCTCATTAGCCAGTATTCAAATCTGTGGTCTTTATCAATTCATGCTACTGCAATGCAATATTTATGCCTTTATGGCGATATCTTATCACGACATGTCTGATCTACGGTGATTGGGAAATGGCCGCCAAATCGTTTAGCGACCGACTCAAAGTTCATGAACTCGCTAGCCAGAGTCCTTTTCACCAGATAATTCTGTTTCTTGCTACCTTCACACACAGAAAATTGTTATTAAATCAACTATTCTGTTAATATATTAGGTTTAATTGCAACTTTTAGACGTTCAATGTATAGAATTAGGTGAAATTTAATTCGAGGAATATTTTTCGCATATCTTTCATAAAACTGTTTTTTTTCTCATTTATTATATTTACTAAAATTTTAATATATATATAATCAAAATACCATAAATTTGTGCAGAATCTGGTTATGCTTTTCGCCATCAAGAGTTTCAGTTCTCATTCATTTTTGTGTAAAAGTGCCAAAATTAATATTTTTATTTTCAACGAATCATCCCATTTTATATGGGTTTCTGTACCTGTCATTTGTTTATGAATAAAAGTTAGAACGAGAATTTTCACATTGATTCAATTATTTATTTTTATGTTTTCCAGGACTTTGGAAAAGCGATGTCTGGTCTTTGCTGTGGTTATCAAAAAAATCAGATTACAAGAGCTTCCTATAATTTAATCCAGGAATGAACTATCAAAAACGCTATATTTATGATAGAGATCTACTATACACACACAATTTTCTTGATATAGGCGTTTATACGCAATGATCAGACGAGTAGAACGCACGTTTATCGCGTTACCGTTTTTAAATATGCCGTATACCACGCGGCGTAATAACAAATGCGCGGGCTACTTCATGCCTTAATTCTTTGATAATGACATTCAGGCAGCTATGATGAAGGCACTCTGGCAGGAATATCAGCAGATTCACCTTATGATCTGCCTGCCGATTGTCAAATATATCAAAGTCACTTTTCATAAACAAAGCATTATGATCTAGCTCTTTAGTTGAAACTTGTTTGTGATAGAAAAATGTGATTTCGGTGTATGAGACGTCTCGCATTGTCAAACTTATAGATCTTTCCACCGTCGAGAAATTGATGTCATCTCTACGGTTGGACGATTACCATCTTGCCTTTTGCAAATCCGTCACATGTGCGTTTATATTTTTCACAGTATATATCAAATTCTAAGCGAAATAGTTAGGATTTGGAATAAATTATCTGATGAATTATTCGGCTTCGTTGAGTCGCAAATATTTTTGGAAATATTGTTGAAATCATTTGACAGTAAAAATATTCTTCACCGAGACTTTTCGGCATTTTAACTGAACAGATTTCCCTTAAAATCTCATCGATTCACACCCGTTTACGGATGTTGTAAAATATTCGACATACATTGCGTGGTTCATAGCTCCCTAGACATTTTATTAGTTTGCTAATTAATATTATCGGCGTCCGTTTTTCGATAAATAATGTTTTAATAATTCAATAATATTACCCAATAAAATCAAACGTTACATTACAAAAATATAATGTCAATTATCCTAAGATACTTATAGACCAGGCAATTAGTATCAACTAACAATATGTTGTTTGTTTGTGCATTATACATACATATCGAAAAAACAAAATCTCGCTAGTTTGGAATTGCTGTCTATTCAGATTTTTAAAGCCGATAATTCATCATTTACATATAACCACGCAACAAAATTATTCTAATATATATTGGCATACATTGATATACATATTGAATATCTATGTTTTATTTTATTGAATCTCGTGGTTTTTATTCAATCAAAGTTTAAAATTTCTAATATAGATAACCTGCGTCACACCGATAATTAATGGATATTTTGTTGCGTCCGCGCATTCCGTTCGTCAAAGGTCGCAGAGATTTCGATGCATTAAGAATACGTGTTCTCAATTCAACGCCTGAGAGATGAGTTGTCTTTAGGGATGACGGAAATGGTATATTCATGTTTTCGGCCTACCGTAGAAATATTAGCAGTAATTGTCTTATTGCTTGTTTTTCATTCGCGTTTTTCTCATAAGCTACTTTAGTCACCTTGCACTGCTTTTCGGACGAAACAAAACCATCCGATGCCAGATTTCCATTTTCCGCGAGAGATCGTCTTAATTAGTGAGTGCGTTTTGATGTAGGCGGTCCTCGTGGGGTTTTACGGTAGATAACGCTCGTGGGAAACGGGATGACACGGACCCCTTGTTAAGAATGCTTCTATATGAAGGATCATGGCAACAAAACACGTGAAAATAGAGGATAATTTGCGTTAAGCACCTAACAAACAACGTTGAAGTGACAGCGCCTTCTATAAATAAAATATCCAACGAATATTACATTGTATGGTGACCTCGGCTAATTTTTTGACTTTGACTAGCGGGTATTGAAGATTTTTTTTTTATTAGCATGAACCTTGAATATCCTAGAACCGATTGAACTCTATTATCTACCTACCTTATACTCTACTACCCCATACATTTCATTTGTTTATTCTGCCCTTAACTTCAA